GGAAAATATTAATACATACTGTATAAGCTGTAGATGTCGGTGGTGTGCACTTTCAGAGATGACACAGAAAAGAGGAAAACTGTTTAACTCTTTGTCTTCAAATTTACAGAACTAATGAATATTCATAAAATACAGGTCAAGTTTGAAAATCAGCTTGAATGGACAACTTTTTCAAAAGTTCAGCTGTTTTTTTTTTTTTTTTTTTTTTTTTTTTTGTCAGCATACATGCAATACAGGTACAGTAAGTAAAAAAAACTAGTTTACCTATTGGACTCAAACTTACAAGAGTAATCAATATTAGTAAAACGTAGGTTGAGATCAAAAACCATCCTGATCAGGTTATTTTTTGTTGAATTTATGCTGTTTTTTTTTTTCAGCATATATTATACCGTAATGCAATACAGATAACACATACAAATACATTGAAAAAAATGTTTCTCAAATGCTTATTTTATTAAAATACAACATGAATAGCAAATTAAACATATACACTCAGTCTTATGAATACGAGAAAAATATATTTATGTACATTTATAACTTATTCAGATAAAAGGCACACAGTAGATGTTTATGTTAGTAAAAATTGACATTCCTGGGAATTACAACACTTTCCCTCAACCACCAAGGTAAACCATGTCCAAAACTGTTCACAGAATTCTTCTACCTTGCTTCTTAGTTCCAGTTTATGAGTCATTCTCGTAATAGATATAGTTGTGATAGCAAAAAAATATAATAATAAATAATAATAATAATAATAATAGTGAAAGATAAAAAAACTAAATAAATAAACAGAACTTAAACCAGAAAAGGGCACTTATTGAACAGTATTTGAATAATTACTTTGGTGATAAATTGAAAATAATTGAAATTTCAACGAAAATTCATTTTTTTGTCATAAAATTTTCAGACTGGTATTGTGTGCATTTCAAGCGGTATCACCACAGCAGTGTGACCACAATATACAATAATATTATAGGGAGGTCCGTTAAGCACTAGCCTAACGTTATTATAATAATAATGCTGACGTTTGAAGATAGATGATTAGTTACCCATCCAGTGGAACAAAAAAAATTACTTTTTTATTTCTCTCTCTCTTTCTCACACACACATACACACAAACACACACAGCAAAAATAAAATGCAAAATCCTAATTCAAAACAATATCAAACTGTACTACCAAATGGATTTTTCAAGCAAAGATCGTAAGGGGGACTGAACGCTGTAACAAATATAATTATGTTTGATCATTTGCTTACCAATGAAAGTGAGCATTTTGGGATTCCTGTAATTAATAAGCATATCTTACAGCCCATCAAACACCATCAACATGTGATTGCAATTTATTCAAATACCACCATATATGATTTCAACTGCAAACATATGTGATTATTTGATGGCGACTGCATGGATTCAGTCATGTTGCCATTTCTTGCACATTATTTGTAATAATTTTAATTTAATAATTATGTATATATGTTTAATGTTTATTTTTTTATTTGATTTTGTGCAATGCATTCAACGATTCATTGTTCTGAACATTTGGAAATACCACAACAATTACAACAATTATTCAAACCTCCAAACTGTGTCAAAACTGAAGATGGCATTTTGTTGTCTGAAAATGGTGTGTATTTTGAGTTTGTTTGTTCAATCTAGCCTGCTTTAAAACAGATGAATTTTTGAGAGTGCAGTCTGCGGTTTGTGTTTCTAAAGATTAGTGGCCATCTAATACGCAAACCCACAACTCTTTGTTGCCAAGTTAGAAACCCTTCCCTACTGCACAAAGATACTCTAAGCATCGGGATAAAATTTCTGAATGGAAAAAGGAACACTGGACCACTTCTTCCTCGATTTCTTTACACCTTGTTCCTCAGTGTAAAAAGCGCTAATTTTTAAACAAGGGTAACCATACGACTGCAACGTGTTACCCCAGTCTTGTTCACATTCTTTGCAGTGGATCTTCTTAATACCGAGTGCGCTCTTTTTAGGTTCATGATGATCTCGGAAAAGAACATGATTGGAAGCGAAGTCAGGATCTGGATTGATGTGGGCGGTTTCGATCTTGCGGATATCAGAGAGTTTGCATACTCGCTTACCACATGGTCCTTTGCAGATAAGATTTATGTCATCAGTGCGGATTTTCTTTTTCTGTTCCTCCATCATCTCCCGCCTTTGTTTTCTTCTGTGGGCATCTTCATGCTGCATGTTGTTGATCTTCTGCAACATATGTTCTGGAGGTATTTGCTGTATTCTAGCAACGGCCATTTTTGTGAGCTGTTCTAATAAAACATTCACTTCATGCTTCGCTGTTGTGTTTGCCGCACCGATAACTGCGATGGTACTTTTCGTTGCGCGTGCACGTCCACGTGCCTGAATACTGTATACGTCATCAAACATGTGATCGTAGATAACAACCGTGCCGCAATTGGACTCATGAAGTCCTTCCCCTCCAACACTTGTACTAATCAATACTTTTGTTTCTCCCGATTTAAATTTCTTTAGAACGGCATCCTGCTCGCCATATGACATCCCGCCTTTCTCGTTTGAAGTATTGGTTCCAAAAAGAACGTCAGCATTGACCTCTTTCAAATCTGTGTCACTGTTTATCCAAACTTTCATGGCCTCTGCTGTCTTTTTTGTCTTGACGAATATAATAGCTGTAAATTATTTGAAATTAATTTTGATTTGTATTGCACTATTTAAGATGTCAAAGAATCTAATGGGTAGACTGAGTAGAGACGTCTCGAGTTTCAGTATCCGTCTTCCCCGGTGCCATCTGAAACTCGGGGTGAATTCACGTTAAATTTCAATCCAACTGATTTAGTTTTCAACGTGCAGGTCTGAACTCGCCACTATTTTTTTTACATTTAGCATAAGTTGTGGTATACTGTATATTGTAGCCTACCTCTATTTCCTTCGCATTTCATCTGACTAGTAAGAATCTGTTCTTTCAGAATCTTCAGTTTCGGGGGTGTTTTTTCTTTTGACGCAAAAGATCTCAATTGTTGCACATTATCTGTAAAAAAAATGAAGTTTTAAATTCGATTTGGCATGAGAAAGAAACTGATCTGCCATCATTTTCAACTGTGTATAGTGGGGCTTTCTCTGCAAAAAAGAGAAGCTTTTTACTTTAGTGTTGGTTTTGAATATGTTTACACTGCAGTGCTGCAGCTTTCATGTGTAAGTAATGCTGATCAATCATAAATATCTTTTATTCATAAACCAAACAAAATGCTTTAAAGTAACAAAACTGGTAGTACTACTGGTACATGCATATGTCCCACTGTTGAGAGAATTCTGTTGTTTTTTAATTGTGCATCTTCTTAGATATATATATAACAATATGAGTGTTGCATACCTTCAAAATACGTCAGTAGTCTTTTTTCCATTTCTACAAAACCACTCTCCCTTTTATTGCGTTCCATATCATTATAGAAGACCTTCAGACACCAAAGTGCATCTTCCATTCGCATCGAGCTACAAAACTCTATCGCTGAAACATAAGGCTATCTGTAAATGTTCTGACATTAAATTTTTTTATGCAAGCCTCATAAAATTGTTATGACAAAACAATGGTCCCCAAACAAGTTAGCACCTTTGTAAATAGAGACAAATGACACCAATATGAAGTCTTTCAAGGTACCTGCTGTCACTTAAGATGGTTTAGATTGAGTTTAAGCTATGTAAAGTCTGCTCAAACTCTATTTCAAATTTGAAAAGCAGCCGCCTAAGATTAATTCTCATTTTGAGTTCGAGCATTTTTGCTTTTGTTGGAGTAATTCCAACAACATTTGCAACATTAAATACTACTTAACGGAGTAAGATGTATTTTAAGGGCCATCTTTCTTTCATTTCTCTATAACCAGACTACCTTTTAGACGCACTACAAAGATGTACCGGGTAATGACATTGTAAAAGACACACGTGGATATCGAGCATATTTTAACTGGACTAATACAAATCAAGATACCAGTGACAAGTATTTCACGTATTATTCTTACCATTGTTATATTCATACAAATGATCCAAACACAGGAGGCTTTTCAGGGTGTTAAGACCGTCGTCTTCAAGGAAGGCCTTTTTCTTTTCCTCTACAAATGACATGTATCTCTGTGTACCTTTAGTAATGTCCGAAGAAATTTGGATCCAACTTTCTATCTGAGTCATCATGGCTGCCAAGTGGTCATTGAATGGATTCTCTCGTTCCTGCACCTCAACACAAACCTGTTCTAAGGGTTCCAGTTTCCTTTGGCTTAATTCGTCCAGGTTGTCCTTCACCGTGACAATGCGGCGGGCGTCTAGATTAGCACAAAGCTTAAGAATGTGCTTTTCAACACTTTCAGCGACTGGTCGTCTTCCCCCTCCAGGGCTGGCGGTCAGCCCAACGATCTGTGGTAACTTTCCCTCCCCAGTTTCACCTAGCATCAACTTCTGTTCGATGTAAAATGACATGATTTGATTGTAAGGGTGGTCATTGTCTGCCTTGCAGTGATGGCACTCATCAAAGATGATTAGGGAGAAATCCATAATACTAACATCCTTCGACTCCAGTGAATCTTTCATAATGTTGTCAACGACTATAATGACGTCTTTGCGCTGGACAAGTAGACTCAATGGCGTATTCGAGTTTGACCCACCGCTGCGTTTGCCAGTGCTCCATAGTGGCATGTATTTTTTGAAGTGTTTGAAGGTTTGTTGCAGAAGGGTAAACCGTCTGGTAACAAAGGCCACTTTGGGTACCTTGGAACTATGTGTGTTCATGACTGCTTTAAGTTCAGTAGCGTCCTCAATATTACTGCTGCAAAGAACAGCAGGTACAGTCTGGTAAGATGGTCTGCTAGAGTTGACAAGTGTTTTCAGTCGAGTATATATAACCTCGTCCGAAGCTTTGGGCACAGTATTCTCCAATGAGGTCGCCGCAGTTTTCAATTCAGTTAAGTCATCATCTCTGCCTGAAGTTGCCGCAGTCATTGTAGAAGCACATCTCTTCTCGAGGTGGTTTTTGGCAATCATTAAAGCCACGACGGTTTTTCCGCTGTTTGGCGGAGCATAGATAATGCAGTTCAGCCCATCCATCGCCGGCTTAGCAAGTTCTTTCTGGTACTTTCTTGGTGTCAGTACTTCTGGCTTGATGCTATATTAAAGACGAATGTTTTAATTCATTAACTTCACGCATGAGTAATTTCATTTGGAGATGTGATATGATTTGATTATACATAACATGTAAATAAGCCAGTGATATATATCGTATATGCTTGTGTGTACGTGTGAATTTTTCTAAGCAGGCAAATTACCAAAGACTTTTATTATGTAAATTAAGTTTGTTACCAAATCCGTGACATAGATTCACGATTATGCCTTAGGGGTGATGTAAGGGTAATTTATCATCCAGATATCAAAAATGTTTTTTCCTGCATCTAATAATTCAATATGCATCTACCTCTGTGCTGACTTAAAACAAAAAAAAACCCAAAATATGAAATAACTGCGTTTATATTTCTCGTTGCTGTTATTAGCAAAGGCAACTCTAAGCTTTTATCGTCTATTTAACTTTTTATTTTTAGGTTAGATTGCAATCGGTATGGGTGTCATACAATTGGTGCTTGATTGGTGTTCGTGGGTGCGCAGGTAAAGGAGAAATTAGAGAAATCGATTTTTCAATTTTTACCCCTAAATTACAATTATGACGTCACCTGTCAAATTGATTTAGTCACTAAACACTGAAGATTTATCTGTTACCCAAAAGAATGTTTTTGGCAAACGCTCACCGTATCCTAATTTTGTTCATAACTCTGACAATGTACACCATTCAATAAGGTCATGTAAGAAATACAAATGTATATAATTGTCAAAACAAGAGGCATATGTGTGATGTATCATTGTAAAAGCAAATGCATATGTAGTACCTGATTGGTGATTCAAGTGATGGTTCAGAATCCAGTTTAATTTTTTTCCAAGGAACTTCCTCGAGCATCGAAGACATATCTGTATGAGGCTGCTCAGATTTGCTTTTCCCATTGCCTAATGAATAAGAATTGGCTAAATTATCTGTGGAGATAACCCATATACTCGTGTGAAGGGTGTTTAAATATGTCTTTGTCCTAATGGCCTTCCAACAATAAGCAAAACGTTTCACAGCATTCATATAAAGAAGCACCCATGAACATTTGGTTTTAAAGAAAAGGTTTTACGAAGTTGCATAAATGGCTATTATATACATGGATATGAGCGCCATACCTGGGAAGAAGTACATTTTCTTGCATAATGTATGTGTGACTTCCGACATCTGCTTCTTTTTTTTTGACGTCGATAATCGGGAAACGTGACTGTTAACCTAAAGATTGTACATACACATAATCAGTATGTACATTACACATATGCAATAGGTATAAAATGAAAACTAGAATGCAAAGCTGGCAAATACACGTAACGGGTACTGTACTTAGAAATTTAGCAGAGAAAACACATACTTCAACAATATTTACAACAAGAACTTCTGCAAAAGTGCAATCATGCCAAATTTAAGAAGAAATCTGCCTTTTAATCAAACAAAGACCCCCAAAAAATTAAAATGGAATTCAATATACAGTTTGCCAGTTATAGGGTGAACAACCTTTGTGTCGTTCGGCGACGATGTCACGAACAGACCCAGTGCTAAGAATGAATATGGACACAACCAGTGGCTTAATATAAAAATTTTCACTCTATCTGCTGCCTTCCTAAAATTGGTTATCACACCAACAAAAACCATACGTTAAAGCAATTCAATTTAACAACTACTTCGTATATGCCTTGATACTACACTAAAATCAAATATTGGGGAGGGGGGGTCAAACAAGTATCCAGTTTATGAAGAAAGCGCAGACCTCCGCCAAGGCAGCAAAGTCTCATTCTATAATGGTTTAGTTTTTTATTTTTGATTATTGATTGATTATTGATCCGGATCACCACCACAAACTAATCATCTGTTCCTTGGCCCACTTCTGACATTTCATCAAAATCGGTCCATAACTTAGTTTTTTGATTTTTGCTTTTTGATTATCGATTGATTAGTGATCCAGATCACCACCAAAAACTAATCACTTCTAAGTTAACCCATTTCTGACCTACCCTGAAAATTCCATCGACATTCATCCATCACTTTTTGAGTTATGTTGATGACAAATAAACAGGGGTGAAAACATAACCCCCATGGCGGAGGTAATTATTGGGAAAAAAGAACTGATGTCAAGCATGTTAAATTCTGGGGACAACAGAAAAATGACCAAGGGTCAAAAGGTAGCTTTATTACTATGCGTTGCTGCGTAAATTTGTTCGATGTGATTGGTGGAAAATTGTTTTACACGACAATATCTATTTGACGCATTATCAGGCATAGACCAAGTGCCGAGTGACCTACATGTAGTTTTGTCAGGAGATAGCTAAAGGCTGAAGCAAACAGAAGACAGAAATGTTAACATTAATAAGCAGGATGTATAAACTATCTTCAGGGTTTATATAATTCCTGTAGTTGGACTTCATTATATATTCAACAAAATTTCTAACAAAATAATTAGGCCTGACAACACAAGTTTTTCATGGGCCTCTTATGCTGTTACATTCCGTATCTCCCCTAATAACTGACTGCAACTTATGTTGTACATCACCTTTGTTAACATCGATCCCACGTCCTCCTTACATGCATGTTGACTGAAAACTTTAACTATGGCTTGGATGAACCACGTGCCCTTCTGTCTCGTTCGATATGAAACATATTCTGAAAACATATATATAGAAAATTAATCAGCGTTGAAAAATACCAGAACAAATTTATATGCGTCCGTCACATAGTTGCATTGCTAAAATCTAATATGTCTAATCAGCCCCCCCCCCCCCCTGGGATTTGAGGTGCAAAAAAAATCGCAAAGGTGAAAAAAAATTGCAAAGTTGGTATCAATTCTGTGAGAAAATGCACTCATGGCCACTAGACAATCATTCAACAATCTGTTTACAAAGTTGTACTGTTTTTAGCCAACTCAGTTCATGCTAAAAAGCTCACCCTCCCATAGGGAGCTATCCCCCAGGCTGTTATCAGGTTATTGTTTACCCTGACTGTTTGCCCAACAAAGCTGGGAGGGCTGTTTTGAGCCTGCAGAGAACAGGTTGTATGGACGTATCAGTATGTGGGATCAGTTTACATGGTGTTTAGCCTGGTCATGATGTAAACTGCCCCACAGCCTGTGCACAATAGCAAGAAACGTTATTCCTGATCCTTAGACAATCTACGAAATGAAGTCCGCGTGCTGTGTTGAAAAAATGACTTTACTTATGGCAAAATGAACCCACAATTTCTGACTTCTGATTGAGCAATAAATAACAGTTTTAACTTTTAACTTTTAAAAAATGCACCAGAATGCAGTATTATACATACAGTTTTTCAAAATTTTCCACACCGTCAGAGGGAGACACCCCCTCCCCCCTCGGGGGCTCAGGCTACGGCCCTGCTAATACGAACAAAAGTCGCCATTTCCGCATTTTATACCTTAAATGTGTTTGCTTTGTTGCACATTCTACGTGTTGTATTGTTGGGATGATTAAAAGAAACGGTATTACCATAGCCTGATAATAAAATCAAAACAAGAAAACCATTTTTTTACCCTCTGTCGTCGCTTTGGCAATGAGTATATCACTTTTAGTTGGAAGGATAACTTTTCCATGTGTTTCAGCATCCACGTACAACATATCTCCGACGCCTGCAGTAGCTTCACATGTAAACAAATTTATAACGCTATGATTTTTAATATGATATAGGACATACAATATGTATATACAGTATTAGCAAATTTCCACACCGAAAAGAGTTAAAATATAGTGTAAACTAAGATAAAATTAGGCTAGGTTGGTTGAGGAGAGGCGACTAAAAGGGTAGGTAGACGGAATTTATTATTTGCAGCTAGATTTTTGGGGTCTGTCGGGGTTTCTAAGGAGGTGTCACAGTGTGGGCAATTTTGAGCATAGAAACAGCAGAAAGGTTTGTCCAATAGTCAATTTTTTACAGTTGCCAAAACAATGCCCCTTAGAAAAAGTCAAAGCTTTGTGGACAGGTAATTCTTTGCTAAAATCCTATGATAATTGCATTTCAAGTTTATTCTTCTTTTCGTGGCAGTATCCAAAAGGGAAAATCATTTAACAAGTTGCAAGTACATGTAGAATGTATATATAGCTTACAATGTTATAATGGTATCTTATAGCAACAGAGAAAGCACAACAGCAATCGTTCGAGCCATATTTCACACATGCTTATATTCTCCAGAGAATGAAAAGATTATAGACTTGGCCTGCGTAAATCAGAAAGATATGTTACCGGGCGAATCCGTGATCTCTTCACTTTCCCCTTCATCGGTGCAGATAGCACCGTCGTCCGTCTTGTCTGGAAACATTAAAACCCCGCTTTTACTCAGTTATTGATTACAGAATATTTTTGAGTTTAATTGTCAATCACATGCATTTAGGATGTAAGTGTCACAAAGAAAGCATTCTTGTATCTGCTACTCGAGTTTGAAACCTAGGAACAATCTAAATTTCTCACAATAATGAAACAAGTGCACAATTTAGTTGTTCCTTTTTTATAATAATCTGACTGAAATTGACCCCTTTCTACTATTGCAGGATTTTCCTCATTTTAAACAGTATAAATAGTGTGAAATGAAATAGTATAAATTGCCATGGAAAGAAAAGTTTATCTTGAAGACGCCAAGAAATAAACAAAAAAATGGAAGAGGAACTTACTTCCTTGGCATGCCTGAATGAAGAATAATTTTGGTTTCCCTCCTAATCCGGGGCACGATTGGTTATCAAAAGGGCTTAGAATCTCCTGATATTTTACAGATTCAGAATCTGTTCCGCGTACAATCTCTTTTTCTCCGTGGCTGAGAATTACACACACGAACGAGTCAAAGGATTTGTGTTCAGGATTTAGACTTTCTTCTTTTAAGGCTTCTTTGATATCCTGTTTAAAGAAAAAAAGGCTTGTACACTGTGGTTATCTTGGAAAAGTTTTCTACATATGTATATTTTCTTTTACGTGTTTTTTAATATTCTTAATCGATAAATATTAAATATCAATTGCAACTTAATTAATATGTGAAGCGTTTGGTTGCAAGTCACTGAACATTTTCGTCCTATACCTTCACCCGGAAGAGAATATTTTTACAAATTTAACCAAAAACAAAAATCCAAAATCATATTGAACATAAAATGATAAATCATATAAAATAATACATAGTTTAGTCTCATTTAATTACTATGGATGACTTTGAAGCTATAAAAATCTGAAGTTCGAAACATTTTTGACCACGCGATACATAAACATTTATATCTTGAGAATTATTATCAAGCATGATAATCAGAATGGTTTGTTTTTGAGAAAAGCAAAATCAAAGTTTGTTACATTTTTATCTTCTCGATGCATACACAGGGGCGGATCCGAATTATATAAGGGGTCCGAAACGACAGGTCTCTGTTGGGAAGCCGACTATCGCCCCCTTGGTGTGGGGTTCGGGACCGGTTGAAGGACAGAAGTTGGAGGTATAGCTAACACGCAATTTGGTAACATATGTAACGGTACCAAATTGCGTTTATATTGTTATTGTTGTTTACGCTGTTAGTTGTCTGTCGGCGCAACTATGTGAGTGTGTGCAGCGTCATGCATGCGGGAACGTTTGTTTCAACGTTGCACATTCCTCTTTGTTAATTTGTCATACCGATTTTAATATCCATCGTTACATACGTTACCTGTGTTTTTATCATTAATAACTGTTAGCTGATTCCAACTACTGGTGAGCCAACACCTATCTGCATATTATGTTACCATAAAATAGAAATGGGACAAAAGAGGGAAGTTGTCTTCAAACGATTTGTAAAAATCATTCACATGATACAAACGTCACCAGGGGCTGATCCAAGATTATTTGAAGGGGGGGAGGTCCGGAACGACAGGCCTCTGGTGCAAAGCCGACCATCGTCCCCTTGGTGTGGTGTTCGGGCGGTGTACCTAATTACCGTCCACAACTGAGGTGGGCAAGGGTCGACCTCTCTGACCCCCCTTCTAAATCCGCCATTGCATACATATTATCATGTATATTTTAGAGGCTAGTTTTTGAAAAAAATTCAAAGTTCGGAATATTTTTATTTTCTACCTGACTCATCATACTGGGTACCTGTGCTTTTAAATCGTGTTTGACTACGAACTTATAGTGTAGTCCCGTAAACAATTTCTCCAACATGGCGACGTCTCGTTCTGTCCCAAATCGATCGCTCCTCCCGCCAAAATGTTTGTTGTTTATGACTAATACTCTGCCCCTTGGTGACGATGTGTTCTTGTAATTCTGCAAAGAAAATAGGGTTGAGATATATATTATCAGTAGGCCCTATGATTGCTTAGAAGCAGGTACGTCGTATAATAACCGCAACGCATTCAGAGAGAGAGAGACAGAAGGAGCGAGAGAGAGAGATGTCTACTCAGCATCCACTGTGATTTTTATTTCCATTTTTAACACAGATCCTTAAAATAGAGAAAACTGAAATGACCCTATCTTAAATCAATTTTATAGATTTTACCTCTTCAAAATCTGTACTGTGTTCTCTATAAAACGATTCTGAGCAAGGGGGGATTTCCAACCCAATGTTTTCGTCTCCATCTGAATAACATAAAATTCTTTCATGTGCCATGTTAAACATCAGTCATTTGTGAATAAACCCAATTGGAAGTCAAAAATTATGATTTTTCAGTAAGTTTCATTTATGCAAAATCATAGATCCAATAACTGATGAGATAATAGCATTCAACCTTACTGAAATAAAGCTAAACCGTACCAATATCCTCGCTCCCAGAGCTCTCCCATTCCCCCTCGTCCATATCTCGCCGACTTTCCTGAAACTCTTCAAAAAATCAAAAGCTGTATCATTTCCATAAATAGAGGCATTCATATGCACATCGCACCATGAAACAGACGATAATTGCAGAAATTTAAACTTCACAACTCAATTCCTTATTTTGTCCTTTCGTTCTCAACAAGAATGTGATTAACATGGATTTTCAAGGCAGTAGAAACAGTAATCAGGAATAATTAACCTCGAGGATTGTGTTATCTTAACTTACCATTTTCCAAATCCACAGCCAATTGCTTAAAAAATGTGTCACCCGCCTGTCGTAAAGCCTGAACGAGATCATGAAACCAGGACTTGCGTGACGGCAGGTTGTTCAGAATATCCAGTATCCGTCCAAGCGTTTCCTGCTGCGTTGAAGGACTTTCAGTACTATTGCCAACAAGGTTCGCTAGCACCGTGAACAAGCGTTCTCTTTGGACACCATTAAGGTTAGGGATTTTATATTTGCGTATTTCTCTTAGTACGCGGTCCTCTGGCTCCTCTTTAACGATGATATCCGCTCTAGAATTTTCTTTGAAATAAAAAACACATCACAGGTTCAGAATAAAAAGCAACCATTAACCAATTTGGTAACTGAGATGTGTTGCTAAACAACAATTATAGAATAGATTCCTAACAATAATAATTTATTCTGTTGACACATACCAGTAAAATATACAGCAAAGATTTATTTTTGTCAGAGCTCTCAAAAGTGAAATATGAAATTATTTAAGTTAAAGATGTGAAAATAAAATGATTAATCTTCCGAAGAGCCGCTTAGTATATCTTGTACGCCATCAGTTATTTTCTTTATGAAGTTCAACATTTGCTATTTCAGAATAATTCCTTGGATCATATGAAAAGGTAACCGTCTCTCCAACTTGGAGACTAAAAATAAAAATGTCCGTTATGAAGTCTTAGCTTTTAAATATTAGACCATTCTTTTGTCTACCCCGACTCATGATAATACTGCACTTGCTGTATATAACAAAAAATACATAGATTACATTACGTACACTATTAGGCCTACTTTATTTAGGTGAACTACATGTAGGCCTTTTACATTTATCTTGAACTAAAGTAGATCGAGTTCTCGGTCCAAATATTTAAACCAATCTTTCGGTTAAAGTTTCATTTGGTGACAAGGAGAGCTTTCAATAAACAAATGTTCTTACCTTCAGAGGAAAACGTCTGTGGCTCTTCCATTGCTTCCACTGAAGCCATGATTATGTGTAACAGATATCGACTGAAAACAAATAAACTGCATGAAATACAGGAAGCAGATTATTTTCATCAGCATGCTGGTATCACATACAGGAGTATTGCACTTATCAATTTTCTAATCCCATCCCGGTCTTTCTACTATTTTTGTTTAATCCTATATGTGGTTTATGTTATCCATCTAATATCATTTTGTTGACATTTCCCTTTGAATTGTGCAAGGGGGCGTGGCTGTCAAAATGGAAACATTTAAAACCAAATAAGATTTTATCTCTAAAATCGGCAGAATTGACCAGTGTAGGGCCTACAGGCTACAATACCGTCCTACGGGCTACAATAGGCCTACCGTGCCGACATTTTGGTTAAATGTTTTTGTTTTGGAGTTATGAGCCCGTAAATACAGATTTTCATTAAACAAAAGTATTATTTATCTTTATTAACCATAAAAACTGAATCTGAACTTGCATTCAGTGAGAGTCCCCACGGAGATGGGGCGATCTACGTAGGACGATATTTTCAATGGGAATGAGCCCTCACCTGAATACATAGGCATTGTAAGCCTACATTGTACTATTAGGCTACTAAACTATGTCAGAGGGCATTGCAGATACACATACTTCTTTCAAAAATATTTTCTTGGAGCACTAAAGAAAATCTCTGTGATGTAATAAACTTACATTTAACACGTCACTAAACCTACCTGTTTTGATCAGCTAATCAGCGTCAAAATATAACGTTACTAGGTGGTATAGACTGTACGTTGGCTCTAGTGCGGAAATAGCGTCTCCGAGCGTGAGCGTCTCGATCAACTAGCGCTCAGACGTCTCATGAGCATATGGGTCAGTGTTTTGCAACCGAACACAATGATCACTTTTTATACCAACTTTTTTTTTATTCTCCGTCTTGTTTGGTTTCGATTTGATTAACAGGTATGGATTTAAAATATAACTGTTATGGATGCTATTTTTAGAACTTGGAAATTTCCGTCGCACTTGGTATTAAAAATTATAAAAATGAAACATTGCATCCATGCTGAATTTATATAAATTAACTTGTGTTATCCTTAATCGAATATGGTCTTGAGTTTCAGATAACAAGTGCTAGATCATAAATCGTAATAAGCTAATTATTTCCAGTACACTCGACTGTGGGATTTGGGATATCTTGGGGAAATAGGGGTTTGAAATGGAACAAACAACACGTCGATACTAACAGTCTTATTTTATAAAATTTGTTACTATATCAAAATGGTATAAACAGAGTTTATCTCATCAAGAAAAATAATATTTTAACAGCTGTTGGTGAAAATAGACAAATGATTGTAGTATTGCTTATGTGGATGAATAGAATCGGTTTGAAGATATGTGACGTCAGTTGTCACATGATTATTGACCTAATTTCGCACAAGGTGTTTTGATGATTGATATTGCGAAAGAATCAGTTATTTTATATATTCTAAGATGAGAGGTAAGTGCTACTGCTTGCTGTTTTTGAATGTGACTTTAAATACTTGATAAATGTTGATAAACACAGATATTGCACGGAAATGTTGTTCTTATATGAAGTTGCTGTGGAGGAGATAATTTTCTACAGTCGATATTCTTGCACAGTAGAGAGAAAACCTGTGCCTGTTTATTTTAATGTGTACAATCGTATGACTCTTTTTGTACTTGTTTTGCACCTGTCTGAACTTCCTGGTGCACGTTGCTTAAGTCTAAAGCTAAATTCTACTATTGTATCAGAGGAAAAAATACAGAGATTTAGATTTAAACCAATTTTTATTATAATACTTTGTTTTATAACGCATTCATTATTTATTACATTAAATTTCATCGTGTCATACATTTTGTATAGCTCACTTGTTGATTTTAAGAAATGTCTGATATCAGGTTACTTTGACTTGTGGATTAAAGTGAAAATTGTGTTAGGCCACAGTTGTTTAGTGGCCCATATCCTACNTAAAAATTGTGTATTAAATGGTGTATGAGGACAAATTTTCTGTAATAAATAGGGTCTTAAGGATGGATGTCTGTTTGTTTGTTTGTCTTTGAGAGAGAGAGAGAGAGAGAGAGAGATGGGGGGTGGGGACGAGTACCTGTGAAGCTTGGGTTCACCATAACTCCCACCCTGCCCTGAGTGTGCTGTTGATTTGTTTGAAAGTTTGCTGCTAAATGTGTGTGATACTTGGTAGTCCTTCTTGCAAAGTTCGTATTTTATTTTATGATGTATTAATTTATTATTCTTTGTTTCAGATTCCTTCTGGGATTTTCTCCCTATGCAAAGTACTGAGGAAAGAGGTTTGATGATATTCTTATCACAGACGTGAACAATTTTTATTCAGAGAACTTTGATATGCTATCTGTATTACTTAAACTTTCTTTTGGTATGTAGTTTAAACCTGAAGTAACACACCACATCAGCTGCACAAACATATAATGCAAACAGAAAATTAAGTTTTTATCAATTAAAAGAATGTGTACAATTTTGATTTTGTACCTTTTATTTATTTATTGTTTTCTGTTTTACAGGCCTTAATTTTGTTTGGAAACCATTTTTCTTCATTGAAAGGTGGTGGCAGCCTTAGTGAACTTAGTTCTCTACGGGTAAGAAAGTTTAGTGTAGGGGGTCAGAGAGGGGGTCAAAATAATGGCAGTCAGGTAGTGGATGACAGCTGACAGAGTTTGTCCACAGATATTTTTGTTGTTTTCTTTTACATTCTGAAAATTGCAGTTTATTGCACAAAAGTATGAATTCAGCATTTTTTTTTAAATCCATATTGTTTTTGTTTTTCAAGTCAGCATTCCAGGCCTAAATATTTTCATCCTTATCGCAAAAAAAAAAAGAGAAAAAAATCATGATTCATGCACTTTTTCTCATCATGGTCTGAAGCACAAACCATCAGTGTTTCTGAATATCAAATTCTTCAAGTTGTGATATTTAATATCATAATTGTATTTATTGCCAGGTTCTTGATCTCCATGATAATGAATTCTCCAGCTTACCAGAAGAGATAGGGGAGTTACAAAACTTACAGGTATGGTGTGGTTGAGGTCTAGTCTGCTGCTGCTAGTTCTTTTTTAATAGTCGTTAATTGTCAGAAATACTGGTGGTGTTTATCGCTAGGTTTCCCACACATTTTTTTTTTTTAATTTGAGAATTGTTAAACATTTCTATTAAAGGCATTTTGGTGATTTTCTCAGGATTTGCCTACAATACTTTTGATAAACTAGTCAAATATTGTCAAAAAATACTGACCAAAGCATATAATAGCGCACATGCAATTTTGATAATACCTATATTACATTAAACTAGAATGTAACTGAACAAAGATGGACAGTAAATTCTTTGCTTTAACTGTTCTATAATAATTATATTAGTTATTTCTGCCACAAAATGTTATTTTCTTTCGTTATATTTATGTTTTCATCTTAATCCAGGTTTTAAATCTTGCCAGTAATAAACTGAAAGAACTCCCCTCCAGCATTGGGAAGCTTAAAGTATTGCAGACACTCAATGTGAGAGGTGAGAAAGTCAATTTTGCAGGTTGTCACCACTTACATGTAAATATTTCTGTTACATAATTGTGAAAAGTAACAAAGATTTGACAAGACAATGTCCTGGGTTTTAGATATTAATTAATGGAAACATCTGTCAGTGAATGAGAGGCATAGACAATACCATGCTGATAGTGGACGTTAATTTTCAGTAATCTCAAAGACTCTTTATCAGCAAAAGCTTCACATAAAACATTGATTGGAAATTTAGGTTTTTCAAGAATGTAACAATGATGTGTAATACCTAAAATTACTTCAATCACGAGCTCTTCATTGTAATGGTGTGAGGAAGCAGAATGTTAAAAACACTAAAAAAGCATTTTAAGTTATATTGAAAGATAAAGGTATGTATTAAAAAATAATGATGACATTTTTTCATTGCAGACAACAAATTAAAAGTCCTCCCAGAAACCCTTTGTCAGTTGTCAAGGTTACGTACACTAGATGTCTCTGGCAACCATATCACTGCATTACCCAAGAAGCTCTGCAATATTCGTACACTTGATACTCTGATAGTAACAGCATCTGACATGAAAATGCCTCCAGCAGGTTCGTATGAAAAATGTCTTCTGAAAAATCTTTGGTTGGACAGTTTAACTAAACAGGCATTGTTTTTTTTTTTTCCCGTAACTATTTTGCTTTTAGTAAAGTCATTGATTTTATTAGTCTGATGTCTGTAAAATCTTATCTGTTCAGGTAAACATTAGAAATAATATTGATTTGTACCATTTTTCTCTGAATTATATGGCTGAAAGTTCATGTAAGAATTCAGCCGTTCCTGTTGATGACAACTGTTTGCCCATTCATTGTCACAGGTGCTTCAGTTTGATATAAGTCAGAAAATGGTTATATCATTTATCAACTTTATTTCTGTTATTCATTTGACTGTCCTTGTCAAAATGTTTGCAGAAAGTATACTACATGGTTTACAAATAGTTAAAGCATAGAAAGTTTAGGGTAAGGAAGGAAGGAAGGACAAGAAGTGTGTTGTGTGTGAATATTTTTAAAAACTAATCTAAAAAAATCATTGATAAATACCTTGTGTATTAAAAAAGAATTTTTTTTTTTTTTTTTGGTGACTATTTCAGACATATGCAACCAAGGCACAGAGACCATTATGAAGTATTTATGCAGTGGTATGTAATGATATAAATCAAAGAAATATATGAAAGAATAGAAGAATGGGATGAATGGAGGTCCTTTACCTTTATGTTATTAATATGCCATATTGATCAACCAGGCCATTTGTATTTGATTTGATTTTATGTTCATATAGGTATATATAATAGCAATAATGGTGGTCAGATTTTGATTATGTATGGTTTGGATATTATAGAATATGTGTGGTTAACTTTCGCTTAATGTTTGTTTGTAGTACTGTTCCTCCCTTGTTATTTTGCTTAAGATAAACATATACTAAGAATAACCAAGGAACTTTTAATGTGATTTTCTTTCTTAAATTTTACTGTACAATATTAAATTTTTAAATCTTTTTTTTTTTTCCTTCATAGAATGTGGTATAGAATATATACCACCCTCCAAGGTATTGCTTGACCAACTGGACTCTCCACTGGACATGGAGACAAAGTGGAGAAAACAGTCCCTCAGAGCTATGGAGGAAGAAAACTTAAAGGTAATGGACACATCCCATGATGCTTCATGTAAAATTCTCATCCAGTATAATTTTCACATGGCCTTATTCTCAAACAGTCTTTTTCTCAAAGTGTTTATTTGAGAATGAAGCCAATGGAAGTTGAAACTGGTAGAAAATGAGACCTCCCTCTTATGAGAAGAAATTGAGCTTTTTTTTTTTTTTTTTTTGAGGGGGCTATTTACAAAAGAAGTTCACACTGAGGGTTAGTCTTTAATTTAAGATTGAAAAATTTAATTTCAATTCAGGATGAAATAGAGAAGAAAATCAGTGTTTTTTTTCTGGAGGATGGTATTCATAAAAGAGATTGAAAAAGTTAATGAACTTGTCTTCAGTTCAGAATAAATGCATAGTTACCATTCAAATGAGGTTACTGCTGATCTAAAACGTAAGCAGTTTCTTTGGTTTTTTTAAACAATCACATAATTATGAGTGCAAGTGGCCTAATGCTGATATATCAGCTAAAATTTTTAGTCTAATTTTTAGCCAACTTTTGGTCAAATGCTGTTTTTGAATTGTCTGAATTTATTGTTTTCTATGGGTGAACTTTCTTTATTGTATGGTGCACACGATGTATTCCTGTGTATAGTGATCATATGCCCAGTTTCTACTTGATTTGCTTGGACACTTCATTGGTCTGGATAACAATAGACATAAGAAAAATGCAAATTTTTTGTCATGTCAGTCTACAGTCTACAGTTTACCTCACTGCACAAGTATTGAAGCACTATCAGCTGTTCTGAACAAGCCCTGTTCATGCAATAAATGAAGTTCACCCTATTACTGCACAGTATCCTCTATACAGTTATTCTGTCAATTTTTTCACATGCACAAAAACTGCTTGACCAGTCACTGTCAACTGCTTGACCTGTCCTTGTCAATGCACTTGCCTAAGTTCAGTGTTACTTGTTCTTTTGCTGGTGCTGTTTAAAATGACATGACCCCCCACCCACCCCCCCACCCCCCACCCCACCCACCCCCCCCCACCCCCTCCCAACTCTCTCTCCTTCTCTCCTCATGTATGCACAGCTTTAAAGAATCCAGTAGACATTTGATTGTTTTATTGGTTCAAAATATGGTTCTCTTATTTTTAAGAGGTTCGAAAATAAGGTCAAAGAATATATATCATATTGTTTGAAGGGTTCCAGTGTAAGATTAAATGAATAAGATATCATTTTTTTATTTTTTTTTGGTCAGTTTTGTTTATCTTACTCATGATGCTCAGGATTGCATGAACAGCATTTGAAGAATGGGACTTAGTATTTTGTAAATAAAAAATCTTAGTATTATGGATGGCATGTTACATTGGATAACTCTTGATGAAAAAACCAACTTCAGAGAAATGTTTCAAATTAATTTTCAAATTGAATAGAATTATGGAAGTAAATGTTTGATTTTTAGAATGTTGTATTTTATACTATTTTTTGTTAAGTGCATGAAAACCTCTACCTATTGATTATTAATACTTTTATATATTACTATTATTGTATTATTGTTATCATTATTATGAAATACTTCAATGAAAACCTTAGTCTCAACAATAGCAATTATTTTTGTGTAGATTGTAATTTTATTTGGGGAAAACCCTTTTTCACCAGGACTAACTTCACAGTAAATACTATTAAATCATTGCCATTAATTAAGCTAGATAAACATTTTATTTATTTTTCCTGATATATATTATTTTTCTTTTTCCCTTTGAAGGATACCTTGCAACATTACCAAAGCCTAAAGGTAGATGATGATAATTGTTTTTAATTGCTTCTTTTCTCCAGGATTCACTCATGAAATTTCAGCCAACATGGATATTCAAACTTATTCTAAATTTAACACCTTATTTAATCATATTTGATTGAAATGGAGAAGTTGCATGAGTGGTTTCTTGGTTTTGGCGTTTGCTACCTTACATGTAGATTAGTTTTTTTTTTTTTTTTTTTTTTTTTTTTTTTTGGGGAAAAATTTATTTTTTTGTGTTTTTTGACAGTTTTTTATTTTTTTTGTTTTTCCATGCTTTAATTACTAAATTTTTTTTCATTTTNCTGTTTGTTTGTTTGTCTTTGAGAGAGAGAGAGAGAGAGATGGGGGGGGGGACAAGTACCTGTGAAGCTTGGGTTCACCATAACTCCCACCCTGCCCTGAGTGTGCTGTTGATTTGTTTGAAAGTTTGCTGCTAAATGTGTGTGATACTTGGTAGTCCTTCTTGCAAAGTTCGTATTTTATTTTATGATGTATTAATTTATTATTCTTTGTTTCAGATTCCTTCTGGGATTTTCTCCCTATGCAAAGTACTGAGGAAAGAGGTTTGATGATATTCTTATCAGAGACATGAACAGTTTTTTATTCAGAGAACTTTGATATGCTATCTGTATTACTTTAACTTTCTTTTGGTATGTAGTTTAAACCTGAAGTAACACATTTTTAATTCAACTGCATGAAGTTCCACCACATCAGCTGCACAAATATGTAATTTTATAATGCAAACAGATAATTAAATTTTTATAAATTAAAAGTATGTGTATAATTTTGATTTTGTACCTTTTATTTATTTATTTTTTCTGTTTTACAGGCCTTAATTTTGTTTGGAAACCATTTTTCTTCATTGAAAGGTGGCGGCAGCCTTAGTGAACTTAGTTCTCTACGGGTAAGAAAGAAAATTAGTGTAAGGGGGTAGCAGAAGTAATGGCAGACTCTTTAGTGCAGTGAGGTGCTGAATGAAAGCTGACAGAATTTGTCCACGGATATTTTTCTTGTTTTCTTATACATTCAGACAAATTGCAGTTTATTGCATAAAAGTGTGAATTAAGTATGTATTTTTTTAGTATCCATATTGTTTTTGTTTTCCAAGTCGGCATTCCTGGCATAAATAGTTTCATCCATATCGCAAAAAAAAATCATGATTCTTGCACTTTTTCTCACCACGATTCTAAGCGCCAACCATCAGTGTTTCTGAATATCAAATTCTTCAAATTGTGATATTTAATATTGTATTTATTACCAGGTTCTTGATCTCCATGATAATGAATTCTCCAGCTTACCAGAAGAGATAGGGGAGTTACAAAACTTACAGGTATTGTATGGTTGAGGTCAAGTCTGCTGCTGCTGGTGCTTTTTTAATAGTCGGAAATTATCAGAAATACTGGTGCTGTTTATCTCTATGTTTTCCACACATTTTTCTTAAAAAAAACGTCCGAGAATTGTTAAACATTTCTGTTAAAGGCTTACGGTATTGGTGATTTTCTCAGGATTTGCCTACAATACTTATGATAGACTAGTCAAATATTGTTGAAAAATACTGACCCAAGCATATAATAGTGCACGTGCAATTTTGATAAGACCTATATCACATTAAACTACAATGAAACTCAACAAAGATGGACAGTAGGTTCTTTGCTTTAACTGTTCTGTAATAATTATATTAGTTATTTCTGCCACAAAATGTTATTTTCTTTCGTTTTATTTATGCTTTCATCTTAATCCAGGTTTTAAATCTTGCCAGTAATAAACTGAAAGAACTCCCCTCCAGCATTGGGAAGCTTAAAGTATTGCAGACACTCAATGTGAGAGGTGAGAAAGTCACTTGGCAGGTTGCCAGCACTTTAATATTTCTGTTACATAATTGTGAAAAAACAATTTAACCAGACAACCCCCTGGGTTTTAGAGATTAATTAATGGAAACATCTGTCAGTGAATGAGAGGCATAGACAATACTATGCTGATAGTGAATGTTGATTTTCAGTAATCTCTGAGACTCTTAATCAGCAAAAGCTTCACATAAAACATTGATTGGAAATTTAGGTTTTTCAAGAATGTAACAATGATGTGTAATACCTAAAATTACTTCAATCACGAGCTCTTCATTGTAATAGTGTGAGGAAGCAGAATGTTAAAAACACTAAAAAAGCATTTTAAGTTATATTGAAAGATTAAGGGTATTTATTAAAAGATAATGATGATATTTTTTCATTGCAGACAACAAATTAAAAGTCCTCCCAGAAACCCTTTGTCAGTTGTCACGGTTACGTACACTAGATGTCTCTGGCAACCACATCACTGCATTACCCAAGAAGCTCTGCAATATTCGTACACTTGATACTCTGATAGTAACAGCCTCTGACATGAAAATGCCTCCAGCAGGTTCGTATGAAAAATGTCTTCTGAAAAATCTTTGGTTGGACAGTTTAACTAAACAGGCATTGTTTGTTTTTCCTGTTACTATTTTGCTTTTAGTAGTAGATTTTATTAGTCTGATGTCTGTAAGTTCTTATCTGTTCAGGTAAACAATAGAAAAAAGATTGATTTGTGCCATTTTTCTCTGAATTATATGGCTGAAAGTTCATGTAAGATTTCAGCCATTCCTATTGATGACAACTGTTTGCCCATTCATTGTCACAGGTGCTTCAGTTTGATATAAGTCAGAAAATGGATATATCATTAATCAACTTTATTTCTGTTATTCATTTGACTGTCCTTGTCAAAATGTTTGCAGAAAGAATACTACATGGTTTACAAATAGTTAAAGCATAGAAAGTTTAGGGTAAGGAAGGACAAGAACTTCAAGAAGTGTATTGTGTGTGAATATTTTTAAAAACTAATCTAAAGAAATCATTGATAAATACCTTGTGTATTAAAAAAGAGATCTTCTTTGTGACTATTTCAGACATATGCAACCAAGGCACAGAGACCATTATGAAGTATTTATGCAGTGGTATGTAATGATATAAATCAAATAAATATTTGAAAGATAGAAGAATGGGATGAATGGAGGTCCTTCACCTTTCTGTTATTAATATGCTATTTTGGTCAACCAGGCCATTTGTATTTGATTTGATTTGATGATCATACAGGAATATATAATAGCAATAATGGTGGTCAGATTTTGATTATGTATTGTTTGGATATATATTATAGAATGTGTGGTTAACTTTCGCTTAATGCTTGTATGTAGTACTGTTCCTCCCTTGTTATTTGCTTAAGATAAACATATACTAAGAATAACCAAGAAACTTTTTATGTGATTTTCTTTCTAAAAATTTACTGTAAAATATTAAGTTTTTAAATCTTTTATTTTTTCATCATAGAATGTGGTATAGAATATATACCACCCTCCAAGGTATTGCTTGACCAACTGGACTCTCCACTGGACATGGAGACAAAGTGGAGAAAACAGTCCCTCAGAGCTATGGAGGAAGAAAACTTAAAGGTAATGGACGCGTCCCATGATACTTCATATATAATTATCATCCTGTTTCTTTTTTTACTTGGCCTCATTCTCAAACAGTCTCTTTCAAAGTGTTTGTTTGAGAATGAGGCCAATGGAAGTTGAAGCTGTTAGAGAATGAGTCCTCCCTTTTATGCTTTTTGAGGGGAAGCAGGTGGCATTCCCTCAACCTCTTTACTTGTATGGAGAGCAGAAGAGAAGAAATTGAGAATTTTTTTGTGGGGGCTATTGGCAAAAAAGTTCACACTGAGGGTTGTTCTTTAATTAAAGATTGAAAAATACTTTTATATTAATTCACAATAAATGCATAGTTTCCCATTCAAATTAGGTTACCACTGATCTTAAACTTAAGCAGTTTTTTTAAACAATCACATTATGTTATTATGAGTGCAAGTGGACTAATGCTGATATATCAGCTAGAATTTTTTAGTCTTAAAGTTAAGACCAACTTTTGGTCAAATGCTGTTTTGTGGAAACATTGTCTGGAGTTATTATTTTCTATGGGTGAACTTTCTTTATTGTATGGTGCACACGATGTATTCCTGTGTATAGTGATCATGTGACCCATTTTCACTTGATTTGCTTGGACACTTCATTGGTCTGGATAACAATAGACATAAGAAAAATGCAAAATTTTTGTCATGCGACACAGTCTACAGTTTACCTCAAGCACTATCAGCTGTTCTGAACAAGCCCTGTTCATGCAATAAATGAAGTTCACTGCACAGTATCCTTTATACAGTTATTCTGTCAATTTTTTTCACATGCACAAAAAATGCTTGATCAGGCACTGTCGACTGCTTGACCTGTCCTTGTCAACTGCTTGACCTGTCCTTGTCAATGCACTTGCCTAAGTTCACTATTACTTGTTCTTTTGCTGGTGCTGTTTAAAATCCCCCCCCCCTCCCAACACTCTCTCTCTCTTTCTCTCCTCATATGTATGCACGGCTTTAAAGAATCCTGTAGACATTTGATTGTTTTATTCATCCAAAATATAGTTCTGTTATTTTTAAGATGTTTAGAAATAATGTCAAAGAATATATATATCATATTGTATGAAGGGTTCCAGTGTTAAAATTTAATGAATAAGATATCATTTTTTTTTTTTTTTTTTGGTCAGTTTTGTTTATCTTACTTATGATGCTCAGGATTGCATGAACAGCATTTGAAGAATGGGACTTAGTATTTTGTAAATTAAAAATCTTAGTATTATGGATGGCATGTTAAATTTGATAACTCTTGATGAAAAAAACCAACTTCAGAGAAATGTTTCAAATTAATTTTCAAATTGAATAGAATTATGGAAGTAAATGTTTGATTTTTAGAATGTTGTATTTTATACTATTTTTTGTTAAGTGCATGAAAACCTCTACCTATTGATTATGAATACTTTTATATATTACTATTATTGTATTATTATTATCATTATTATGAAATACTTCAATGAAAACCTTAGTCTCAACAATAGCAATTATTTTTGTGTAGATTATAATTTTATTTGGGGGGAAACCCTTCTTCACCAGGACTAACTTCACAGTAAATACTATTAAATCATTGTCATTAATTAAGCTAGATACATTTTATTTATTTTTCCTGATATATATTATTTTTCTTTTTCCCTTTGAAGGATACCTTGCAACATTACCAAAGCCTAAAGGTAGATGATGATAATTGTTTTTAATTGCTTCTTTTCTCTAGGATTCACTCATGAAATTTCAGCCAACATGGATATTCAAACTTATTCTAAATTTAACACCTTATTTAATCATATTTGATTGAAATGGAGAAGTTGCATGAGTGGTTTCTTGGTTTTGGTGTTTGCTACCTTACACGTAGATTAGGTTTTTTTTTTTTTTTTTTTTTTTTTTTTTTTTTTTTGTAAAGAAAAATTGATATGTAGTATGTTATTAGACACTTTTTAATTTTTGCGTGCTTTTCCATGCTATAATCACTACATGTTCATCAATCTGATGTTACCTCTTTGTCAGTGGTACATAATATAATAATATATAGATATTTAAGTAAGCAAGAGAAAATTTATCCATACCTTTACAACGTTATCATCTCACTGTCTCTAGTTAAATAGATAGATCATCGGATATTGCTTGCTGTATTCATCATAAAGATAGATTAATCATCCCATTTTGCTCACTGTAGAAAAATCATCACATTTTGCTCACTGTCTTTAGCAAAATCACACATATTATCAATGTCTTTAGCGAGTGTTGGCAAACATTTCATAATTTGTTCATGTGAGCAAAACTGAGCTCATAGTTGGTAGGATTTTACAAAGAATAAGAGAACATTATAGGTAAATTAAATGGCTTCTTTACATCACAGGATAAGAAAAGAGAACAGGCCACAGCCCTAGAGAGGGCGCTGCGTGAGGAACAGGAACAACAAGCCCAATTAGCAGTCTTGGCAGCATCAAAGAGAGATGACCTCATTAGACTATTGGCAGAGGTGAGAATGCATCTTCTGCGGTGTGTCTGTGATGTGACATTGTCAAATGAAGATATAGCAGTCTCTATCTTACCTCTGAAGAGTATCTAATTATGTAAAAGGACTGCTGTATGCTCTTCATATCTCTGACTTTTTGGAAAATTTCTTCAAGTTACTCAAAAGATTGGAGTTTGGCAATGCAACAAGCTTAAGTTTGCAGGAAAAATTCTTTTTTCAGATGTCTGAAGATAAATGAGTTAAAGGGTAGTGATGGTGCAGAGTGTGCTGGGGGCTAAGTTGACTAGTGAAAAAAATGAATATATTTGAAAACTAAATCAAATTGTACTTGTTTGACTTTGTACTAATAAAAAATGGTAATAAAGGATAAGACAATTCAGTGTGGGTTATTTTAGGATGAGAACAAGAGGCAGGGGGAATTTACAAAGTTGACTCAACAGAAAGAAGAAGAAAGACAGAAACTGGTGGCTACATTATATCAAGGTAGGAAGTAGATGGATATAATTGGTGATTTGGACAGCATTAACCTTCACATGCTACTATTCTGCTAAAATTCTGCTAAATACTGTAAACTGGTCTCTCTTTGACCATATTCACACTGAAGCTGATGATAACCTAATGACTTTATGTAGGCCATTGAGCTAAATAAGTTGCGACTCTTAATTGTAGTTCAGCAGAATATAATCGTTTTTATACCAGCTTCAGATGTTCTCAAGATGATTATGGGTGAAATCTAGGCGTTTTTGCCCTGCTTTATGGTTTTATTGTATTATTGGGACTTTGGAGTCGCTTCCTCTTGTGGATGTAAATCTATCTTTTTATTTAACTCAACACTAGTGTTGCATTGTGCAGGCATGGTTAAGGTTTAATCAAAGACTCCTTCAAATTACATGATCAAGACGAATGTATGACCTGCATTATGTAAACCTGACATTCTAATAATGAACCATAAAGGTGGGGATCTTAATGTACTTTACAGTGGAGCAAGGGGCCAGTGAGCTGATCAATAATATATTGGAAATGAATGAAAAAGCCCGCAGAACAGAGGAGATATTAGAACAGATGGAGAAGGAAAGGTATATTGAGTATTAAGACTCTGGGTTCATGTATGCAGCATGGTTGTATAAAAAAACATTACTTCACAAGATTTGTGAATTAGTAGAATTTACTGGAAATGACTGGGATTCCTCTTGGTTGTAAAACAAAAACATTTCAAACATCTATCAAGATTCAGATTTATCACCAGATGTGCCCTCGCCTGCACAGTGGTGGACCAAAGTGGTTCTCATTTTAGCAGAGTCTGAATATTTTTCCCTTTTGGATTTGATATTGTTTCTCACTGTGTGTTGTTATCATCTAGGATGGAGTTGGAGCAATGGCTGGTGGTCCACCAGGAGGAAGAAGAGAACTTAAGAAAACAAGAAGTCCTTGGTGAATACTCCTTTTCTTTTCTGTTTTAATAAACTCACCATCAACATCATCACATTTTAAATACAATGTTTCATATTGAAAAAATAAACCATGGTTTCTCTACTTAAAGTCAACAGCTTTTGCTTTGGAGTTTTGGAGTAAAAAGTTTTGCACGCAAGAGGTAAGAATATGTTAAATAAGAAAGTAAAATTTTTATTGAAATATCATTCGGAGTCCAAACACTTAAGTGGTGCTGTCTGCATTACTAAATTTGTAAATGACCATTTTTTTTTTTTTTTTTTTGGCACATTGAGTCGGAGTTATTTTACAGGCATATTTAGTACCACCAGCGTATACGCTGGCGGTACTCATGGTTTTAGTCCCGGCCCGTCTCGTACAGCTCCGCCGGCTCCGCCGGCTCCGCAGTCGGGCGCCGGAAACAAGTCACCGTTACCGCTTCTCCTCCTAGACCGCAAGGACNCATGTGGTTTTTCAGTCAATATGGAAAGGATGCTGCAAGAAAATGAAAACTTTGAAAATATGCGGCAGATGTACTTGGCTCAGCGCCAGGAGGTAGCACAGAGAGCTCAGCAGAGGTTATTATGGGATAGAATTGGATTGAATGATTTTGATTAAAGCTGTGTTTTATACATCCAATCTTTCATCATGTGTTTCGTTTAATAATTCATTTGCAATTGATCCAACTTATTTCTTAAAAAATATATTGTAATGTTTACGTGTTAAATTCTTATTGATGTACTTTTACTGTAACAGTTATTCTCAACTTTTCTGTCATTTCTCTTGTAAGAGATTTTCATAATCCTCAGTACTCTGTATGTGACATTTTCATTTTTTTGCCAGATGTATTAAGTTTATTTGACTGTTTATCCACTTGCACTTTATCCACTCATTTTCTAGAATTGAAGTAATTGAATTGAAAATCCAAATAATTCTGATGTGGAACTTCTTTCCATTTTAGTGTCGTGGATGCTGACAGTAATATCGAAAATCTTCTTGTAAACAAAGACATGAGCAAAAAGGAATTCTTGGAACAGCTTATCAGAGAGGTAATTATAAGGTTTAAATATAAATTGTTGTTGAGATGATGAATGTTGAAAATAAAACTGAAAAAAAAAAATAATTGAACCTTTTGAAATCTAAGTGAAATCTAAAGGTTCAGCTGGCTATAATAATTTTTTT